GGAGTAAACAGAAATATCTTGGAAGCACCTACGACCCACTGACAGCATTTTACTAATATCGCGACTATCGGATGAATTACAAAAAAAAAATGATAAATGAACTGAATGGTGAAAGTCTCTTTCCGGCAACTCCTACAGCTGGTACCAAATGTATGCTTTACTTTAAACTCAAAGACGAGATCGGAATCTTGACGTACATCTCCATAACCCCCGCCCAGTCTTGTAACGTTCTGTTCTACGCCATTGACTCCCGAAACAGACGGTTGCTGACGAATAGTGAAAGTCTCAGTGTTCGCTTAAATCAAAATGAAAAACAAAAAAAAAAATAGCGTCCAATTGTGACGTTTCTAAAGAGATTAAAAGTCTAGTGGATAAAGAAATGAGAGAAATCCAGAAACGATATTAACCGTTTCTTTATAAGGAAACATTCGACATTCATTGACCGAACTGAGAGAATTATTGTTGTTTGAAATTTATAAAACCTGCCTCTCAAATGCGTTTCTCATGAAAATGGATTTATCAACTCTAATAACTATCATAGCTCTTCTAGTATTTAGAATGCCGTTTCTATACTAATAGTGGAATATACACATCCGTTATGAATAGAACGTCTGCTCGCAAAATCAATCGTCGCTAGGCGTAGCGTTGAGTCGTACGCTTTGTCGCACTGAACTAAGGTGTTCCCTATTCACTCAGTCACTTATGTGCCACGCGTGATACATGACTGACGATTTTTTTCCGCAGTTGGTTGCCATTTCTTTCTCACTAGTAGACCAGTTGCCACCCAAGGTTCTGTCCTGCTATTTGGGAGGGAGAAGAAGAGGATTCATACCTTTCCAAGAGGTATTATCACGTAAGGGAATGTAATGGATTCGAACTCTGCTCTCCGATTCCACAATCTGAGCCGCTATCCATTACTCCACCGTACTATTAATCCATGTATATCATGTGATTAAACCTGTTCTTCACTCGACATTTTGTTCCACTGTTTCTTTACAGTATTATTAACCAGAACTACTAACGTTATACGAATTTTATAACAGAAGGGTATTTCCTTCCTAACCTTTTGTTTAATGTAGTATGAAAACTCAATATTTTGATGTTGTCATTATTTTTTTCTTCAACTCAGATGTGCTATCCATTTTCTTACATTTTCATATGAAATGAAATTAATAACAACTGGTCTAGATCGAGCAGTCCTACGAAACAAAGATTTTGACTCACGACAAAAATTTAAACCCGTATCCCCTTTTGTCATCAGACAAACCGCTTCTAGAAGTATACAGGTTCGATTCTTGTCTGGACGCATATGTTTTGTTTTGTTTTTCTGTAGTAGGACTTCTTGTTCTAGTCCGGTTGTTATTAAGTTAAGCGTTTAAGAAAGTAAAAATATAAAACAGGAATATCAACTCAAACTGTACATCCACTAAAAATAATATTTATATTAATAAGATGTAATAAGAAATAATCTCGGATAAAAGTCCATTTAAAACAAACATACACACACACGCACATACGTATATATATATATATATATATATATAGATAGATAGATAGATAGATAGATATGTGTTTGTATATATCGCGAACAATATTGAGGAAAATCCTAGATGCTGATGATATATATATATATATATATATATATATACACACACAAACGTCAAAAGTTAATTTCCATATCTAGTATTTCTCGCACAGACAGGTGTACCTTTGTAATTATATATATATATGTCTGTGTGTGTGTGCGTGTGTGCGTGCGTGCGTGCGTGTAAATCTTCTCAGATGGAATGTATTTGTAGAAGACACAAAATGAATGAAAAAGACTAGAAGAAAAACTATACTTTCGTCATCTGACAAAACGCGTCGGCTAAGTACAGATTTTCCTCATGCCTTTTATATATATATATATATATATATATAAAACACACACACACACACATATATATATATATATATATATATATATATATGATATATATAAAATATGGGAATAAAAATCATATTAAACATAAGATATAACAATATCCACGTTTAAAACATAAAAGGTAAGGTACCTTTCGACCGACACATTTTCAAACACAATCGTCGGTAATCTAAAACGGAGTACTAACAAGAAAAATTTTTATTAATACCGTCATAAAACGGGGTGGTAAGGGGGAAAAAATGTTTTACCTCATAAATCATGTAACAGTTCCCCCAAATAATTTTTTTTTTATAATACGAAAAAGCCAAATAATAAAGCTATAAAAGCCAAATGCACACACACAGATAGATAGATTTGAATGGGTCAAATATGTACATTTGAATGGAAAAGTTCATTTTCAGTGATCCTACTTCTGACATTTTGGAGTTTGCTCTCAGAATCTCTGTTAGTTTGTGCTCACAGATGGATTAATTGATTATATTGTATCTTATACCAAAATATATATATATATATATATATATATATATATATATATATATATATATATATATATATATATATATATATATATGCCCGTGTATATGCTATCAACTCCAGTGAACATATGTAAGTATAAAAACATAAACAGGCTACGGAATAGAAATGCTTATCTGGCTTCACAAGTGCACCCGCCTTTACATACAATAGAGCGGATTATAATATAGCCTCTTTCAGGTCAAATAAAATCCCGTCAATATTTGCCTTTCAACCCAAATAATCATGTGGTTCACATATTTTCCAATGAACTCCACCCTCTCCATTACTTAAATGAATTCCATGTCTACATCGAGTCAGAATAAGCGCAATAAATATAACTAGTTTTAACCCTTGAATATCTCACGATTTTCCTGTTTTAAATTTCTGCTGAATTTTAGTTCTTCAGTTAATAATTGAATAAGCTCATTGCGAGTTCTACGACAACGAAATATCCATAGAAATTTCCCTATGTCATCGCAAAATATTTGAGCTTAACAACTTTAATGAAATATTGCAATAACTCATAGATATGAATGCTGGTCTTTTTTTTTTTAAGAAGTGAGGTACAAAGGAAAAGATTGAAGTGAACTTATTTCTTTTCTTTCTTTCTTTGATTCATTCATTTTCTCACTGTTTCCACCCGGTCAAAACGGAATAGTCCATTATTTATGAGGTATTGGCAGAAGACATTGAACACTGCTATTTCCTTTCTTTCTTTCTTTCTTTCTTTCTTTTTCTTTCTTTCTTTTTCTCACTGAAACCAAGTAGTGTTTTTCCCCTGTTTCCAGGTAGAGAGGATCCCCAGAGGAGACTATGACGAAAGGCAGAGTTTCGTCTCGGGAAACAGGGGTCTACAGTAAATTTTTGGCCGAGACTACGGGCTCGGATAACCCACATTAAATTCGGCCTTGTGCCATATCTGACCACGTGGGGCGGTTGGTAGATATCCTGCAGTTGGAGAATCGTCTCTACCTGTGCAGGTCAAACTCTCTGCCTCCGAGCAGAGAGAATCCCCAGATGAGGCTATGTCGAAGGGTAAAGTTTCGTCTCGGGAAACAGCTACCCGAACCTCGTTTTATACGAGGTCTACGGGGAATTTTTTGGCTTACTCTACGGGCTCGGATACCCAACATTAAATTCGTTATTGTGCCACCTGACCTCGTGGGGCGGTTGGTAGATATCCTGCAGTTGGAGATTCATGGTGGAATTCACTTCATTCACTTCTAGCGGTAGACAACTTCTACGCGCCACTGGCGAATCTTATATGTGTTATTAGTGTCCTAAGTATTATCCTCCATTACCAACCTTCGTATGATTATTCCATTCAGTAACCTTCAATAGGTTACACTAATATGTATATGTTTATGTGTATATATACATATATATGTATATTATACCTAGATATGCGCATCTCTTTGTATATGAGCGTGCATGTTTATATGTATATGTAGCCAAACTGCAAACAAACCAAGCATTCCGATGAGACCCATAACACCAGGAAATATCAAAGCAGCCTAAAAACCCCAAAATGGTACTTATATATATATATATATATATATATATATATATATATATATATATATATATATATATAGAGAGAGAGAGAGAGAGATGGATACATGTATATATATATATATATATATATATATATATAAGAAATGTTTGTATGTATATATATACATACATGTACACGTATACAGAAAAATCTAAATATATGTATATATATATGTGGTGTGTATGTATGTACATATATATGCAAGTATATATATATATATATATATATATATATATAAGAAATGTTTGTATGTATATATATACATACATGTACACGTATACAGAAAAAATCTAAAATATGTATATATATATGTGTGGGTGTGTATGTATGTACATATATATGCAATATATATATATATATATATATATATATATATATATATATATATATATGTACATATATATATATATATATATATATATATATATATATATATATATATATATATATATATATATATATATATATATATATATATATATATATATATATATATATATATATATATATATATATATATATATATATATATATATATGCAATTATATATTATATGTATATGTATGGGGGGTGTGTATGTATGCACATATATATATATATATATATATATATATATATATATATATATATATATATAAATGTATATTAAAAACACAGTCTCGTTTTGGTGCACTCTATATATATATATATAGAGAGAGAGAGAGAGAGAAAGAGGGTGAGAGGGAGATAGAGTGAGAGAGATGAACAGATTGATAGATATCTATTATCGGAAATGTATGTTCTAACGTATTTGTTTATCTGCTATATAAATAACCATTATAGGGAATGA